CTTCCCGGCCGACTTCTGCGAGGGCACCTTGCCCTACTCCTACAACCTGTGCGTGGCGGCGCCGGCCCGCGCCGTGCCCGAGGCCGCTTGGCCGCCGCCGCCGCCGCCGGTGCCCGTCCTGTCGGCGGAGGAGCTTCTGGGCGGCGATTCCTGCGAGAAGCCGAGCCTGAACAGCAGTGCCGTCGAGGGAGTGGTGCCTGCCGGCTCCGATGTACCACAGGTCTGTCATACCATAAACTGTTTCTCGAGCCTTTCTTAACAGGCTTTTTCATTTTCCCCATATTGATCCATTTGTCGAGAACTGGACATTAGTTGTCGGTCAATAGTATTTCGGTATTGATTCCAAAAGTGAACATGTACCTGGCTATATTGATTGAGAATTTACATTTTGTTCTAACCCTCTTTTGCTTGTCCTCCCATTTTATGAGAGAAGTCTTCTTTGCTTCTTTTACATCTATTGAGGCTGACAAGTTTTTTTTCCCCTAGTATTACTTGTCTGATGCAAACCTGCGTTTTAATCCTGTTTCCAAAATTACCTGGTAATGTCCCATGTTTTGAGGGAATGATTCTTCCGAAAGGGCAGCACTAATGGGATGTATATATAATTCAGTCATGATTTTTCAAAGGTCTTTTAAACAATTTTTTGTCAGTTCAATGAAGAGCATGGATTCTCGCTCTGCAGAAAGAGATCTCCAGATTCTTCATAACAGAACTTCAAAAAGGGAATTAACACTTTTGGTTTGTTAGGAGGTCGGGGCATGTGTTTGCTTGTTATTTATTTTTTTTTTTTCCTGAGATGTTTGCGTTTTCGACATGAAAGGAGAAGTTACAGGTTGTTCCTCCCTGCTGGAAGAATGTCGAATGAATTTGGGAATACGTTTTCTTCAGGAGTGGTAGGCAGGGATGGTTTTCTTATTCCAGTCATTATTTTTCTCTGCAGTTCTTTCTGCAGAGCTGCGAGTTCCTGCTGTTCTCCTTGAATCTTTCCCAGCCGTTGCCCTCTTTTCCTTCGGTTTCCCCAGGTAGTGTTGGTTGGAATGGCTGGTCCGTATCTCTGAGAAGGAAGAAAAGAACAATGTGATTTCTTTTTCTTAGAACAGGCAATTAGCCATAGAGCTTGATTCTGTGTTGGCCACAGCTTCAGATTCATCTAAGAGGCACTGTCTGCATCTCTAGAGTTGACTAAAATCGTATGAGATAGTAACTGTGATGGAGAATCCTAACTGTGCAGGAGATTCGTGGTTCTTCATGATGGAATTGGGGAAATAACCCAGGCACAAGCTCTTGCAGATTTTCCCCTCATGATCTGTTTATCCTGAAAATGTACTCTAGGACTTGGTTAAAAGCTGGGCGCATACCGTTTGTTTAACACTTGCTCGGTCTTGGACTGCAGAAAGACTCGTTTCTCACGGATAGAACAGTGACAGGTTCTCCAGCAAGAGTAAAAGAAGAGATTGCCTCTCATCTTTTGCGGGAATGTTGTTGCAGAAATGGCAGGAATGGTACCATTAGCGGGATGAGTTCATTTTGCTAGTTTTATTTTCTTTTTCCATTCTGGCTGGTAGTTCCCTCTTTTGCTTTTACCATTCCTAGTATTTCCTTCATATACAGGTGTCGATGAAGACTGTAGCCTCAAACAGGGGGGGAAAATAGTATTTTTTTTTTTTTTTGTTGGTGGTGTTGTTCCAGTGGCTTCTTTCTTATCAGTTTTATAAAAAGAGAGGTGTTTCGACCCTATATAGAGAATCCGTTCTCTTAGTGAGGTTTTTTTTGTTTGTTACTTTTTTTTTTGGTTGGTTCCCCTTCCGCCCCTCCCTCCCAGTATTTCTTATGAATGTCAATTTTAAAGGATAATGAGGCTCTACAAATATAGATATCAAATGCATAGGAGATTCGCCAATTGACAGTTCAGGCTCTTGAATCAGGTATATTTGAAAATTTATCAAAGGCCATTAGAGGCTGAGGTGTACAGCTGCAAGTCTCTTTTCCTGCTGCCTGAAAGTATTTGGGTGAAAATGTGCCATAGCTACATGAATACACAATAATTTGAACAAGGTTTTGCTAACGAGCCCTTTGCATCCTAATTTCTGAAAAAAGAAAAATATCTTCCAGGGATTATACAATTACTTGATTGAATTTAATTTTGTATAAAATGTATAATATAATTCATTACAGGAGCTTTCCTGTCTCCTGGGTAGTTGTAGATACAGTCGGCACAGAGTGATGAAGTAACCTACAGCTGTATACCAGAGACGGTTTTCTTTCGCTGCCCTTGCGCCGGTCATTCCATCATGTTTTCTACAAATATTTGTGATGAAAGTTCTGCTTTTGTACTACTGCGGTAGGACTCGTAATACCCCGTAGGTCCTATTAAAATAACTACCTTACATCTCACTGCGTGCAGTGCCGGGAGGAGGCTGCGGGCGCCGCTGCTGACCGAGAGGAGCGAGAGGAGCTCGGAGCGCCGCAGCCCCGCCCGCTGCGGCCCGGCTCTCTCGCTCTCCCGGTGTGTGAGTCGGCGGCGGAACAGTCTGCGGTCGTTCCCGCGGTGCGGAGACGTGCTGAAGGGAGTCGGAAGAGCCTGGCAGAAGCGCTCGGGAGCGAAGCGCCGGAGCTGCACCGTGAAGCCAGATCGGTGAGCGGCGGCGGAGAGCTCCCGGCAGTGTTGCGGTGCTGCGGCCGAGATGTGCGCGGCGGGGAGGCGCTGGGGCCGGCGGCAGCGAGCTCTGCTCTGGGCCGTGCTGTTGGCAGCGTGGGAGGCGGCGTGGGGGCAGCTGCGCTACTCCGTGCCCGAGGAGATGCCCAAGGGCTCGTTCGTGGGCGACGTGGCCAAGGACCTGGGGCTGCAGCTGCCAGATATCCGCAATAATGCTGTACGCGTTGTCTCCAAGGGTAGGACGCAGTATTTCGCTGTGCACGGGAAGACGGGACATTTAGTGACAGCAGAGAGGATCGACAGAGAGCAGCTGTGCGAACGTGTACAGCAATGCGTGCTGCGATGTGAGCTGATAGTGGAGGGGGAAATGAAGTTTTATGAAATAGAAGTGGAAATCACAGACGTTAATGACAACGCCCCGAGCTTCAGAGAGGCAGAAAAAGAATTAAGAGTGAACGAGATGACAGCTCCGGGATCGAGGTTTCCCCTCCGAGAAGCACGAGACCCGGATGCGGGCCGGAATTCCCTACAGAGCTACGAGCTGAGCGGCGACGAACACTTCTCGCTGGCCGTGCAGGCGGGCCCCAGCGACGATCAGCGTCCCGAGCTGGTGCTGGCGAAGGCGCTGGACCGGGAGGAGGCGGTGTTTCACGAGCTGGTGCTGAGGGCGATGGACGGCGGCGATCCGGCACGGACGGGCACGGCTCGGATCCGCGTGACGGTGCTGGACGCGAACGACAACGCGCCCGTGTTCAGCCAGGCGGAGTACACGGTGCGTGTGCCCGAGGACGTGCCCGTGGGCTCTGTCCTCGTCACCGTCACGGCCACGGATGCCGACGAGGGTCTGAACGGGAAGGTGAAATACAGCCTCCATAAAATTTCAGACCAGGCGTCTCAACTTTTCCACCTGGACTCTGACTCAGGAGAAATAACTGTTAAGGACAACTTGGATTTCGAAGAAATGCCGTCCCATGAACTTGAAGTTCAGGCACATGACGGAGGAGATCTCTCTGATACTGCAAAAATGGTGATCACCGTGATAGACGTCAATGACAACGTGCCCAAGATTTCAGTGAGATCGGCTCTTAACGAGATCTCGGAGGATGCCCCTCCGGAAACTGTTGTTGCCCTGCTACATGTTCAGGATGGCGACTCGGGAGCAAACGGTGATGTGCGCTGCTCGCTCGACAAGGACGTCCCGTTCCGTCTGGAGAAATCCTATGATGACTACTACCGTGTGGTGACAGCGAGAGAGCTGGACCGGGAGCAGGTGTCGGAGTACAACGTGACGGTGCGGGCGGCCGACGGCGGGTCGCCGGCGCTGCAGAGCAGCGCGGTGCTGGCGCTGCGGGTGCTGGACGTGAACGACAACGCGCCGGTGTTCGCGGAGGAGCGCTACAGCGCGCGGCTGGCGGAGAACAACGCGGCGGGCGCGCTGGTGCTGAGGGTGCGCGCCACGGACGCGGACTGGGGGCAGAACGCGCGCGTGCGCTACCGGCTGGCGGAGGGGCGGGTGCGGG